GCTAAAAACTACATTCCCAGAAATAATATACAGGCTTTTCCATTGCTAAATATTTAGATTTACTTAAAATACACCCCGATTTGGTTGTTGTTAATTCCCATGTAACAACAATGTCATAGAATAAGATGAAAATGATACATTTTCACAGATGAAATTTAGATGAACATGTTCTAAAATAATATGAACGTGTTACGTATAAAATGTTATAGAATAAGATGAACATGTTACATAATAAAATGAACATGTTATAAAATAAGATGAACATGTTACATACACAATAAGGTGAACATGTTATAAAATAAGATGAATATGTATTGTTTCAATCTGCAATCTGTAACATGTTCATCATATTTGAAAACATATTCATTTTATTATGTAACATGTTCATTATATGTCAGTATAATAAAATAATTACGAAAAAACAAAAAAAAATAGTTGTGTTAAAAAACCTACCAAATGTGGTCTCTATTTATAGATAATGAAAAATTATGAATTTTGGTATTTTTATTTTATGTTTTTAATATAAATAATTAATTATATTTTAATTTATGTAATATATCTCATTTTTCAATGAAATAGGAATGTGCACTACACTCTCCAAATTTTCTTGTTTTTGAGGTGAGAGAGGCGCGTGCAAAACTGTCCTGACATACCTAGCTAGGTGTGCCAGGGCACACGGTAGTGCTAATGTGTGCATGATAGTATTCTTAACCTTTTAATTATGATTCTCTATCCAATAAATGTTCAAACTAAATCATGAAAACAAAATTAACTGTAACTTTTATTCTTCAAATTTCAAAATTCAAATATGCTGGAAATACTTAGTACAAGACACGACAGGGGTAAATAAATAAATTAGAGCTGGTTCTTGATGTCATGGGCTATTTTCTGGGCATCCATGCCGGCTCCAGGCAGTCCTCTATGGGCCAGCCCAGCACAATATAGCCCATTAATGCCCTTCCAGTGGTTGGGGTAAGGATTTCTAGGAAGCCCATTATCATTAAGCAAATAGTAATCTTTAAGCCACTGTTTGGTAGGTCGTTTGAATCCTGTGGCCATCACAATTGCATCGAATGTATCTTCTTTCCCATTCTCAAACAGCACCTTATTGCCTTTAATGTAGCTTATCCCTGGCAACACCTATTTTTTTACCAAAATATTTTGTATTAACTTTAGAAAAAATAAAAAAAAAAAAAAAAAAAAAAAAAAAAAAAAAAACTTAACCAAAATGTAATTTTTTTGATATAAAAAAGCTTTGTCTCGTCTGAAAATAGAGATAAAAAAGATACGAGAATTCGAAAACTAAGATATTTTACAGCGTAAATATTAAAATATAACGATTATAGTTGATATGATATGTAAATATTAAAATATTGACTATTAATGATTTGTCGTTGTAAATATATGACTGTAAATAGTTTTTTTTTGTTAAAACACTATATAGTAATTGTTGATTAATTAATGTAATAAATTAAATAAAAATTTCATTTATATCTCAATAAATTTTTATCATATATTTATACATATATATATATATATATATATCATATATTTGTACCTAAAATATCGAGATCTATCACATTCCTAACAAACATTAGATTTACTTACATATTTTTAAATTAGCCAAATTAATAAATAATATTAATATACATTAAACATTTACCATTATATAAAAAATAAATATTACTTCTATAAATGTTATAAATAATATTGACATTATACGACAATAAATTTTTGAAAAAAGTAATATTTGAATATTATGATGAACCAAAATATGTAAATTAAAATTCTTATTTTTTTGTAATGAAAAATAAATATATATGTTAAAATATTATTTTGCAAAAATATTTTACATTACGAATCCTCGTCGCACGGGATTCTCACTTGTTGTATGGTAAAAATAGTTAATAATATATACTTTGGTGAGAGTGACAAACCTGGATTTTACCAGTCTTGATCATGCCGATTGTTCCGACGTCAATAACAGGATATTTACCATGTTTGACTTTCATGGTAAATGGGCCCTCCTTAGGACTTTGGATTCCATAGTTTGTCAGGTCCCCAAACACGGCCTTACTCATGACGGTCAACATAAAGTCAACCCATTTCAAGGGTACGTATTTCAACATCACCAATCCCACGTAAGCCATTCCCCTCGTAATTACGTGCATCTGTAAAATTTTATGAAATTCACGTTAAATTCATATTTATTAAGTTTGATAAAAATAATAATAATAATAAATAAATAAATAAATAAATAAAAAGTAAAAAAACTCACCGGGCTCCGGACGACGATCGAGGCCTTGGCCCCATGGTTAGCTAAATCGAGCCCGATCTCCATCCCTGAATTCCCGGCCCCAACCACCAACACCCTCTCTCCCGAAAATCTCGCCCCGTTTTTATACTCAGTCGAGTGCACCACCTCCCCTCCGAACCCGTCGAGCCCCTCCACCGGTGGGGCCCACGGGTCGCATGTCTCCCCCGTCGCCACAACCACAAATCTCGACCGGTACCTTTTCGTGGGCCCCACAGCATCGTTATGATTATTATTATTATTATTATTATTATTATTATTATTATTATTATTATTATTATTATTATTATTATTATTATTATTAGTCTCGACCGCAGTTACATCCCACCAACACGACTCCGCGTCGTGCTTCGCCTCGACAACCCTGCGGCCGTACCTTGGCTTGATTTCGAACCGCGACACGTAGTCAGTTAGGTAGTCCACGAAGTCGGCCCGAGACATGTAGCCGGGCGTGCCGTCAGGCAAGGCTGCGAACGGGAGCTTGCAAAAGCGTTTGTCGAGGTGAAGGTGGACACGGTCGTAGCAAAACTTCTGCCACAAGGGCGCGAACGTGTCCTCCCGCTCGAGGAGGATGTAGGGAATCGAGAGGTGGTGTAGGTGGGCTGCGGTCGAGAGGCCCGATGGGCCCGAGCCCACGATGATCACGGTTGTCGTCTCGATTTTTTCGCCCATGGCTCGATTTTTTTTTTTTTTT